TCCCAGCTGCAAAACTAATAAACAGAAGAATAAATCAATTAGCATACCTAACACAAATATATACACAGAGGGAAAGACAGAGAACATAACCTGCAATCCTGTAAAATCAGTGTGCTTGCCTCACTGGTGCGGAGACAGTCAGAGGGTTCTTAATTCAACAGACCCCTACATCCTTGTGGAGGAGGAAACACCCACAAAACCCATGAGAAAGCAAACAATTTTAGATCCCAAAACTACATGCTAATGTATATTCTTCTCCAGACTCCATAAACTCTTAAATCAGCCACTCATCGCTTTTAAGGGCACAACATTCTCAACAATGGCAGATGAACTAACTGCTATTAGCGATGAAATCCAACTGAAAAGTAGAACAAATCATCGTCAGTATAAAGCACAAAAAAAAAAAAAAGAGAGAACAAAACTCATGAATGACAAACAGAAGGAACAACATCTTCATACCAGAACAAAACCTGTGGATGTGGGTATTCTTCGAATCCTCTCCCCTTGTCCCTCAAATCTGCCATTGATCGCTTCTAGATCCAATTATCTCCCAAGCTGAGGTAAGAAATTATAACACAGATAGAAGAAGTGAGTGAAAGAGAGAGTTAAAAGGGAAAGCTTTAAACAATATCGATTTTGATAGTGAGGAAAACCTGCGTTGAGAGAGGAATTGCAAAATGCCTTGTCCGAGTCTCTCACTGGGTAGGTTGAACGGAAGTAAACCTATCATCCATCCAGTCAACCACCTGAAATAAAAGAAAGGGCCGACGGATCTGGATGATAACTGGAACCAGAAGATAAATCAACGACGGCTCTGGATCTCCTCCGGATTCTCTCTGGTCCTCTCAAACATGCCTCCAGTCAGTGGCGGATTCAGAAAATTTTCATAGAGGTGTCCACTTCAAAAATTAAATTAAATTATATAATAAATTAAATAATTCGTATATTAAAAATATCATACTTGTATAATTTGTATAAATTTTTTATTAAATAATAAATTAAAATTCATATTTAAAAAAAATATAAATAAACTCCGTGTCTGCACTGTTCAAAAAAAATCTACATATCCTACTAGACAATACTTCACGAACTTATCACATATTCGATTTCTAACCTTGTCTACACATAATATAATACACCGAAGGGAAAAACGGGAGCCCCATTTCAAATTTCCTGCAACGAGAGTGAAAGTAGGAAGGACATTTTGGTCTTCACACTTACTTTTTTTAATTCATTAAAAAGACACGTAGTGGGATTCGAATCATGACCATTTTAAGAAAAAGTAAGGATCATAACCAATCACACTAAGTACATTTGTTGCATCTTTTTAAATTAAAAAGATATAATAGCAGAGAGGAAAAAACTCTTCCCCCATTTCAAATTTCATGCTCCATGAGCGTTTGTAGGAATGATAGAATAGGGAGTGTCAATTTTTTCCTCTTTCCTCTGTGGAACGGGCCAACTTACCGTACACATGCGGATTTAAACGGGTTCAAGAGTGTCAATTTTTTCATTAAGCCCTTTAATTTCTCCGTGGTGATAAAATATATATGAAGAGGCAAAAACAATACTTCTTTTTATTGCTAAAAATAAAAAATTTAACAATAAACTAATGCATGGTATCTAATGGGCTAACCGCTAACCATAAAATAAAAGAGTTGAATTGGTTGACCTACACGGGATTTGGCCATCAAGTAAAACAAATGAACATCATTGGTTTGACATTCTAAAACAAGCTATTTTCTCTGGCATAATATCTATTATTTTATATCTTAGTGGCTAAATTATAATGTATTTTAAAGTTATTCAATGGTTCAACCTCGACCAACCCAATTAGTCCAATTTTTATCATTTCAAATATATATTATATAATTATTTGATATCATAATGATCAAATCATAGTGTATTTTATAGGGAATCGTTTGGTATTTGTTAGTAAAAAACTAAACAGAAAGATCTATTTGGTTATTTTAAACATTAAAACGATCCTAACATTTTCAGTTCCTTTTGAATTTCTATGGTTTTATTCCCGAATAAGTGATGTGCAAATGGCAGTCATCTCTTTTCTTTCACTATTTTTTATTTTCAAATAAAAAGTTTAAAAGTAAAGAATAATTAGAATTTGGCATGGGTCGGTCAAACAGGCTGCATTTCAAGTTTTGGCCCCTTTTGATCAAGTCTAATTTATAATCCCATGGTTCCCTGATACCCGATAAAAATCTCAATCCAAACCAGTTTGGCAGGTGAGTCCGTGTTTACCACCATTTTCTAGGGATACGACAACGACGGTTCCTATCCCAAATCGTGTTGTTCGTTCTTGATTTCCTTAGATTTTATCATGGCCTGAAAAAAACCAGAAAGCACAATGACGACAAGATGAAAGTTTTATAAACCAAATTAATCGGCCAACGGGTCGAGTAAAAGCTAGCAACGATTGTGAGATGCTCATTTCCCGAAAACCGACGGGATAGGCGATTTTTTATTCAATTTTCTGGAATTCAGTTTCTATAAAACTTACTCCACCTCATCATATTGCCAGAAACAATATTGTTTCACAAGGTAACAGGTACTTGATTTTGGTTCATAAGGCCGATTTTTGATTTGTTGCATCATTAATGTCTCTTTCCTACTAAAATTCACTATTTTTATCACGTGTTTCCCAAAATAACTATACAACAATAAGTTATACACCCCATTACATTATCAAATTTCATACCTCACCTTCCTCTAGGGATGGCAACAAAACACGAACCCACGGGTACCCACCCGACCCAACCCGGTCAACGCGGGTAAAATCCGTGTTGACGGGTTTTGGGCCGGGTTTGGGTTTAAACCCGTTCAATATTCATCGGGTTGGGTTTGGGTTTAGGTAAACCCGACCCATGGGTACCCGCCCACACCCATATAATTAATTTTCTCGATATATTTAATATTCTAAACAACTTATCTTATTTATGTTTGTGGAGACATGTCTAATTTTTTCTTTCTAATTGTGCAGAATGAAGTTGATGTTATCGAGTGGAGAGTGAAGAAACTTAATTGAAAGGAAGAAGCTTTCAATTAATCATGTTATTTATGGATAATTTGTTATTTGCTTGAATTTTCTAGAATGGTATTTTATATATGGATAATTTGTATTGAGAGATTGATATTTGACTTTAATTTTGATGGGAACTTGTTATTGTAAATTTTTTAAGACAAAAACCTGTGGGTACCCATGAACCCGCGGATACCAGGGAGTTGAGTTGGGTTTGAGTTTTTCAAACCCAGTGGATTTTACCCCGAATTTTTTTCACGGATAAACCCATGGATTTGAATTTGAATTTGGCAAAACCCGACCCAACCCGACCCATTGCCATCCTACCTTCCTCCGGCCAACTGGCCGGGGCCCACACTAGTTCTTAATGTAGCTCAAAGTAGAAAAGACTCTTTCAACACTTGCCGTGTAACCATAAAATCAATTCAAAATTAAGGGTAGCGTGTACGTAGTTTAATTATTAGGTATTGAAAATAGTTGGGGATAAAGAAATAGCGTTTTACTGTTGCATGATGTTTAAAATAGAATAACAAATGAGTAGCAACATAATTAGAATATGTTTGAAATGTTAGGGTGTCCTGGATTACCAATTATATTTTATATACCCATACGAAACTATTACAGGAGGTTGGATAATCGTTTTCCCAAATTTTAGGAGTGTCCCGGGACACCCCTAGAGGCCCATGTATCCGCCCCTGCCTCCAGATCGCTTTCAACCCCACCCATAATTCCAAAAAAAGCGAGATGAGAAAAACAACAAAGAGAGAAAAGTGAGAGAGAGAAGTCGAGAAGAAAGAGGAATGACAGAAAGGGAGAGCGCAACAGCTAAAGAGTCGTGAAATTTGACCCTTTCTCTCTCGGCAGCCAATTTGGGTTAGGTGGAATATGTGGTGGAGAAGGGATGATGTAGCACCCACTGGCGGGTTTCCCAAGCAGAGATGAGAAAGAGGAATGACAAAGAGAGATGAGAAAAACAACAAAGAGAGAAAAGTGAGAGAGAGAAGTCGAGAAGAAAGAGGAATGACAGAAAGGGAGAGCGCAACAGCTAAAGAGTCGTGAAATTTGACCCTTTCTCTCTCGGCAGCCAATTTGGGTTAGGTGGAATATGTGGTGGAGAAGGGATGATGTAGCACCCACTGGCGGGTTTCCCAAGCAGACCTTCAGTTGTCAGTCCCCACTCCCCAAGAACGAAGACAGTGACGTGGGTGCTACAACCAAGGCTATTGCACTGAGGAAAAAAATCTCGGCCAATCAGAGTCCATGGAAACCTCGAATAATGGAAACTTGATATGTCTCAAGCAAAAAGAGTGGCCGGTCCCAGAACCCGAAGGAGCAAAACTCTGCCGAGTGATCAATGCGAGTGAGATAGACTGAGAGGACAGCCAACCAGAAGGCAAACCAGAGTTCCAAAACAACCGAATTACAAAGATTTCGCAAGGAACCAAAGAGCCCCCTCCATGCACCCGCCCACACCGGATTTCCATCCCAGTCGAAATAGTAATTCTGAGTCACTAAGTATAGTAAAAGGTCTCTAGGGCTACAGGGAATGTGGATGTTGGGGAATTTCTTTTTTCAATATGATACTTATTAAATGGTAAGTGTAAAGTAAATTGCATTTTAGTCATTAAATTTTTATATTACTACTTTAGGTGTTTTCTACTAATGATATTATATTTTATATTATAAGTGTCGGTTTTCTAATAGTTTTTTAACTGTCCAATAGTAATTGAATTACTAAAGTGCGAGCCATTCACATTACCAGGATCATACTCCGGTTCGTTTCTTACAACATTTATATTTTGGGATTTTCTCTCCGATGGAGTTCGGCCGTTGAATCAATCTCTCATCTCAAGGGACGGCGGGAACTAACGTGGCCTTGACGCATATTGTTGGGCCTGGCTTAACCTTTATGGGCTGAGCCCGATCTTATGTTTGGCTTACAGTTCCGGATCTGGCCCGGAACGAGAGCATTAACAAGCCTCGAACTTGGAAAGAAAGAAAAAGGGCCGATCTTTACTAAGGACAACACCGTCGATTCGCTTAGCTACGACCCTTCTCCAAGACAGAGAGAGCCAACAACAGAGGAAAAACCCCTAAGTTCGCTTCTTCCCCTTTCTTCTTGCTATTTGATCTCTGTTCCTTCGTCAGCCACCGCCTACAACTTCCCTTCCTTCTCGAGAAGGACAGCTCCCGAATTCAGCCGACATGGGTACGCCGGAGACATCAAGGGAGCCCTGCCCAGATCGCATCCTCGACGACATCGGCGGCGCATTCGGCATGGGCGCCGTCGGCGGCTCCGCCTTCCACTTCATCAAGGGGGTTTACAATTCCCCAGTCGGGACCCGCATCACCGGCGGGACTCAGGCGGTCCGGATGAACGCGCCTCGTGTCGGCGGCAGCTTCGCCGTCTGGGGCGGCCTGTTCTCGGCTTTCGATTGCACGATGGTATACGTCCGCCAGAAGGAGGATCCTTGGAACTCAATATTCGCAGGCGCCGCCACCGGCGGGTTCCTTGCTATGCGCCAGGGGCTCGGAGCCTCGGCCCGCTCCGCCGCCTTCGGCGGGGTTCTGTTGGCTATGATCGAAGGTGCTGGGATCATGCTCAATAAGGTTATGAGTGCGCCGCAGAACATGCCGGTGATGATCGAGGAGCCGGCCCCGGCTGGTGGGCCGGGTTTGCCTGCCGGGTTTCCGGGTATGCCGCAGGAGCTACCGTCGCAGGGTCAGCAGCAGGAATCGGGTTCGTGGCTTGGTGGGTGGTTTGGCGGAGGGAAAAAGAACGAAACTACTGGCTCGAGTAGCGGAAGCAAGGGAGAGATTCTGGAGAGCTTTGACGCACCTCCAGTGCCAAGTTTTGAGTACAAGTGAAGAGATTTGAGCTTGCGAATTCTATTAATTTGTTGTCAGAACGTATGGTTGGGAGTTCTAAAGCTCTATAGTTTTGTTGAACCAGTGATGCTTTCTCTTGTTTATGCTCTCGATTGATCTCTAGTATTAGTGTGTAATAATTCTACCTTCGAAATTCTCTTGGGTCTGCCATACCCTAACCTCAGATTGATGGGTTTACTCGGTGTCTGCTCCTTAGTTCTTGCTGAGTTAGGGAAGTGTACATGTTGCAAGTGGTAGTTTGGAATCAGCATTCTGAAGCTGCAAAAATTATATGGTTTTTTTGTCATATGGTGATGTAAGTTTCTAACTCTATACTTGCAGAGGCATTTGCTTGCAGCTAGAGCTTCTGAAAGGTGGTGACTTTCATGCTTGTTTGGGGCAATTAGGCTGTTAAGCTCGAAACTTTGAGCTATTTATTAACAATCTCCATTGCCTTCTAATGTTGTGGAACTATAGATGTTGTATCGGTCTCTGTCTCAGTTATATTTGTAATGTCCATAAAAAAAAAATGGAGCTGTGGGTTGCATCGTGGAATCATTTTAATTGGAATTTGTAAGTTGCAGATGGCTGTCTAGTGTGGACTTAGAGTGGGTGCGATATTCTTTTTCGGTGAAAGATTTGACATTTTCTTGCAGATATGTGTCCGGTGTGGAATTTAGATTGTGCAGTAATATGTGTGTATTAGACTGTTAGTCTGCCTGGAAATTTGTCCCTGTGCTGCTATACAATTGATTGTCTTTCACAGTTCACTTCTTATTTGGTGTGTTGGCTTTAAGAAGATGTGTACATAGAGATTGCTGTTGTGGACAAGCTGCAAAAAGCAATCTATTTTGGTATGGTCTGACTGGTCCAAATCTGTATCTGAAGCATTTTATGCTCGCAACAATGGTTGCAGGGAGCAGCTCCAGTATCAATTTTTTTTCAGGATCTGTTGCCTTCCATCAAACAAGTAGATTGTTTGAGTTGGCAGCAATGGCTCTGGTAGTTGGACATGATTGTTGCATATAGACTGCCAGGGCAGTGCAGCAGTTAAGACGCAATCGCTTCGGAGTGTGAATCAAACTCATCTTTCTTATATGTTTGCTTAGGTGATCTTCTGTTTGTGGTTCTGATATGATGAAGTTGCTCTTCATCTCACATATGCATGGGCACTCACTTAAGATGTGATATTAAGAGATCATAGGACTAAGGTCAGAGTTGTTGGAAGTTGGAGTTGGAGAAGTAGCATTATCTGGGTATTTATGTAGTCGTTGATTGTGTGCATTTATCTTATGGAATTGATGGCTTCCTGTGGTACCTAGGAAACATTGTGTTCTCCTATATGCAAACTTGTCGCCTCTGATTTGCAACCCGCAACTTGATATCGATGAAAGCAAACAAAATGATCTCGAACTAAGCAAACAAACAAGCAGAGCAAGCTATCAGAATTAAGAAAGATTGTCCTCGATCTTCTTTCAAATGAATTCGAATACAAATTTGCTTACGAATGAATTGTTGGTATTCGACAAGATGGGTGAAACAATGAAATGAATGCCAGAATCTTGACCAGCTATGGCTTGCTCTACTACTTTCTTTGCCACCAAAACCCTGAAGCTGAGATTTTATTATGTTTGAGGAGAAGAACCATCTAAGCTTATGGAATGATCGCACCTAGAGAACCAGAAAGGAGGCTTCGGCCGGCAATTCCTTTCATTCGTTTTGCCCTCTTCTTCCCTTGTAGCTGGATAGAAATAAAAAATCAATTTGCCCTCTTCTACACTCTCTCGCATCCATCTCCACTCTCTCTCCGCCACTTCTCCCTCCGCCGCTCCATGGCTACCGCAGTCGACGACGCCGCCGTCTCCCCTTCCAACACCCGCGTCGGCTGGATCGGCACCGGAGTCATGGGCCGTTCCATGTGCTCCCACCTCATCAAAGCCGGCTACTCCTTCACCGTCTTCACCCGCACCGCCTCCAAAGCCCAACCCCTCCTCGACCTCGGCGCCAAGCTCGCAGATTCCCCAATCGCCGTCGCTTCCCAATCCGGCGTCGTCTTCTCCATCGTCGGCTTCCCCTCCGACGTCCGTCAGGTCCTCCTCGAACCCACCATGGGGCCCTCCACGGCCTCCGCCCCGGAGGAGTCCTGGTCGACTTGACCACGTCGGAACCCTCGCTCGCCGCCGCCGCATCCGCCAAACACTGCCATTCCATCGACGCCCCCGTCTCCGGCGGCGATCGCGGCGCGAAGAGCGGGAACCTGGCGATATTCGCCGGCGGGGATCAATCCATCGTCGAGAAATTAAAACCCTTGTTTGCCCTCATGGGGAAAGTCAACTACATGGGTTCTCCAGGTAAAGGCCAATTCGCAAAATTGGGGAATCAAATCACCATAGCTTCAACGATGGTTGGATTGGTGGAAGGGATCATCTATGCTTACAAAGCAGGGCTCAACGTGGAGCTTTACTTGAGCGCGATATCCACCGGAGCCGCCGGATCCAAGTCGCTCGATTTGAACGCCGGCCGGATAATGAAGAGGGATTTCGAACCTGGGTTTATGTGAATCATTTCGTTAAAGGGTTTGGGGATCTGCTTGAAAGAGTGCCAGAATATGGGTCTGGCTTTGCCTGGTTTGGCCTTAGCTCAGCAGCTTTATCTGTCGCTCAAGGCTGATGGAGAAGGCGATTTGGGCACCACGGCGCTTATTTTGGCCCTTGAGAGGCTCAACAATGTTTCCCTCGAGAATCTTGGTTCATCATCCACCCCTGGAGCATAGATAAACTGGTAAACAATTGGAATTCATGTGTGGTAATGGTGTTCTGGGTGATCCATTCCTAATCATAGCAGGATTTGTAAGAGTTTTTCCGACTGAAATTGGCATTGTTCTGCCTCTGTCAAGGGTTATTGGAGATAGATAAGTAACCCTTTCTGTATGGTTTCTTCTGTTCTGTTGTGTTCTCTTTGGTAGTTGCAACGTTGCTGGTTTGTTGCTCGATGTTCTTGCTTATGATAGTTGGCAACTTGGAAAGGAAGAAGAAAGTTTCAGAGAGCTTGAATTCATAGACTTAATATAATTCTAGCTTCTGAGTTATACCAGAAGCTTCAAGCTTGAATGATTCAGCTGCATGGTTGGCTGTCCTGAACAGAGTGTGCCAAAAGCAAGAATCTTCCGTCAAACCCCAATTCTGAAAACCACATGAATCTCTCGGGAAATGAGTAAACGTGCAGACAAGGCAATACAGGCGAAGTGGCAAAGATGGATAAAGTTTGGAACTTCTTCACATTAAAGTATTGGAAAAAGTCTACAGTCTTGGTCAAAACTGGCGAGCTAACTGCTCCAGAACCGCACCCATCTTCTTCTGGAAGAAGTAGACTTAATCTGATATATCAGGAAGATTCAACACTGCTTCTGCCTTCTCGTCGTTTTGTGAAATCTAACGTGCGTAAAATGAAGCTTCTTTGAATTGCAGGGGTGGAATTCAGCTACGCGGACTTTTTTGGCCGTAGGTGGTTTTCGCTTTCTGTGGAAGAGCTGGGTTTTTCAATCTTCATTTTGATTGCTTCCCTCCCCTGCCGACGGAAGTCAATTGATAGGAACTGTGCAGTTGGAGAAAAACCCAGATCCGTACAGAGCCTGCTGACTTCACGTTTTTGGAGCTATCAGCAGCTTTCCAAGACTTCGAACGCCGTGGCCGTGCGGTTTTCACACCCACCAGAAACCAAAAAGACTTGGCCTTTCTCCAAAACCCGTCTTCCATTTCCATTTCCATCGCCAGAGTTTTCCGGGGCCAAAAGCCAGAAAGAGCCAGAGAAAACTAAGAGAGCAACATAACATGTCAAGGCCAAGTCTTTCATGTCTCTCCCTCTACCTGTTCACAGTCTCAGCCTTCTTCATTGGCCATGGAACCTCTCAGAGCCAGGAGAATACAGCCGATGACCGAGAAATCCTGCTGAGAATCAAGCAATACTGGCAGGACCCGCCGCAGCTGTCTCACTGGTCATCTTCAGGCCCCTCCTCGCCCTGCACTTGGCCGGAAGTTAACTGCACCGTCGCCAACTCGGTCATGGGGTTGAATTTCAACTCCATGAACATCCCCGGTACGGTTCCACCATTCATTTGCGACTTAAAAAACTTGGCAGTTCTTGATCTTTATAACAACAGTATTGCGGGAGGTTTTCCAAGGGAGCTCTACAACTGTTCCATGCTCCAGTACTTAAATCTCGGTCAGAACTACTTCGTCGGTCCGGTTCCTGATGACATCGACCGGTTGGCTCGCCTCAATCATCTCGATCTCTCTGGTAATAACTTCACCAGTGATATTCCGGCGGCCATTGGGCGGTTGAAGGAGCTGAGAGTTCTGTACCTCAATCAGAATCAGTTTAACGCGACTTTCCCACTGGAGATTGGCTTGTTATCCCACCTGGAAGAGTTATCATTGGCCCACAATGGGTTTCTGCCTTCGAGGCTGCATTTCAACTTCACCCAGCTGAAGAATCTCAAAGTGTTGTGGGTTTCTAATGCGAATTTGATTGGTGAGATAGCACCAACGATTGGGGAAATGGCAGCTCTGGAGTATTTGGATTTATCTACGAATAAACTCAATGGAAGTATCCCTGATGGCTTGTTTAGGTTGAAGAACTTGACAGTGGTGTATCTATACAAGAACAGATTATCTGGACCAATTCCTCAATCCGTGGAGTCTCTGGAATTGACCGACGTAGATGTTTCGGACAACAACTTGAGTGGCTTGATTCCTGATGACTTCGGAAAGCTGGAGAAAGCCCGAATCTTGAATCTCTTCTTCAACAATTTGGGTGGCGAAATCCCAGAGAGCATTGGCAGGCTTCCACAACTGAAAGAGTTCAGTGTGTTCACTAACAACTTATCAGGCTCAATCCCTGCAGATTTTGGAAGATACTCCATGCTTGAAGTTCTTCAAGTTGACTCCAATCGCCTTGCCGGTCAACTTCCTGAACATCTATGCAGCAATGGGAAGTTAGATGGAGTTGCAGCGTACGATAACTTTCTCAGTGGAGAGCTGCCCGCATCACTTGGAAACTGCAGCACCTTGAGATTCCTCAGCATTAAGAACAACTCTTTCTCTGGAGAGCTTCCTGCTGGGTTATGGACTGCAACTAATTTGGAAACTCTTATCATTGGAGATAATTCCTTCACAGGTCAGCTTCCTGATGATATGTCATGGAATCTTTCTCGAATTGAGATGAGCAACAACAACTTTACTGGGGGGATTCCAATTGGAGTGAGCAATTGGAGCAACATGGTGTTCTTCTCTGCAAGCAACAACTCCATTTCTGGCACAATCCCTCCACAGTTGACTTCCCTTCCTCGACTCACCAATCTTATGCTAGATGGAAACCAACTTACTGGTTCCCTTCCATCTGACATCATCTCATGGGAGTCTCTAACAACTCTCAACCTCAGAAGAAACCAGCTCTCGGGTGAAATTCCTGACCAAATTGGCAATCTACTTCGTCTTTCAGAACTAGACTTATCAGAAAACCAATTGTCTGGCAACATTCCTCCACAAATCAGTCGATTGCCTCTAACTTCTCTGAATCTATCCTCCAATCAGCTAGCGGGAAACATCCCACGGCAGTTTGAAAATGGTGCTTATTCCTATAGCTTCCTGAACAACCCTGGTCTGTGTTCAAGCAACTCTGACCTGAACCTCAGTAGCTGCAACTCAAGACCTTCTCAATCAAGCAAGCGTACTGCGACTCACATCCTCGCCTTGGTGTTAAGCGTTTCAGCAATCATCGTTGTGGTATCAGTCATATCATCATTTCTCGCCATCAGGAAGCTTAGAGGGAAGCGAGTACAGGATTCTGCCTGGGAGTTCACGTCGTTCCAGAAGCTCAACTTCACTGAAGAGAAAATCCTTGCAGGGTTAACAGAGAGCAATGTGATTGGAATGGGTGGTTCAGGGAAAGTCTATCGTGTTGCTGTGGACTGTCAGAACGATTTCGTTGCAGTGAAAAGAATCTGGAATGATGATGATAACAAACTGGCTAAGGAGTTCATGTCGGAAGTGGAGACATTGAGTGCAATCAGACACTCCAACATAGTCAAGCTTCTGTGCTGCATATCCAATGGCGATTCTAAGCTTCTTGTTTATGAGTATATGGATAACCGTAGCCTGGATTGGTGGCTGCATTCCGGTACAATGAAGCGGGCAGCACTGGACTGGCCAAAGCGACTCAACATCGCCATAGGTGCAGCTCAAGGTCTGGCTTACATGCACCATGATTGTGTGCCTTCAATCATTCACCGAGACGTGAAATCCAGCAACATCCTTCTGGACTCCGAATTCAACGCCAAGATCGCCGATTTCGGCCTGGCAAGGATGATTATGATGAACAGCAGCAGCAGCAGCAGTAGCAGTGGAGAAGAAGCTGCTGCTACGTTTTCCACGGTGGCTGGCTCGTTTGGCTACATGGCTCCAGGTATAGACTCCACTGCCTCGTTTCTCTGTTATTTACAGCAACTCTTAGACCTAGTAAATGACCGAAATACCAATCCAGGAATCCATTTGAACCCAATGCATAATCGACAAACTCATTTAAACCCAACTTAAACCCAATTGCCTCCTTTTTAAGGATACATGAATGATGAAAACCTTGTCGTTCAAACTTGCAGAGTACGGGCAGACGAGGAGGGTGAACGAGAAGATTGACGTGTATGGCTTTGGAGTGGTGCTGTTAGAGCTGACGACAGGGAGACAGGCGAACGGTGGGGGAGGGGAGGAGAAGATGAGGACGACGAAGAGCCTTGCAGAGTGGGCCTGGGGCCGAGTCCAGGAAGGGAAGGCAATCGGCAATGTCCTCGACGAGGAGGTGAAGGAGGAAGGTTGTTACTTGGATGAGATGGTGTCTGTTTTCAAGCTGGGGATTCTGTGTACGACCGCATTGCCTTCGAGCAGGCCGTCGATGAAGGAAGTGGTGCAGATGTTGGAGAGATGGAGAAGAGAGGGGAGTTCACGAGGGAAGAGTGGCAGTGAAAGGAGGGTAGACGAGAGCCCTCTGCTTAGGAACTCCAATGGCGACAGTAGCTTGCCAGTGTGAGTGTGTGAGTATGGGTGTAGATATTACATAGCAAGGAATTTGAAGTAGTCAGGCAAAGATTGTATTTTGGCGGGTTTTTTCCTATTTCCAGATGTAGTGGTAAAGAATGAATGCACAATAAACAATCATACATACATATCCAACAAGATAAGGAATCGGAATACAATGTATGAATGTAACACAAGACTCAAGAGGTATATGTGCCCTAAATCTGTGTGTTAATTCGCACATTTGTTGCTCTCTTAAATGTCTGGTATAATAGCTTTTTACTTTTTGTGAGTTAACTGGTTTGAAGTTTGAACTGCGCGATGACTCTGTTTACTATTGGAAGACAATGAATTGTACCCCATGAGTCAAGCTACTGATAAATTCGGATGAATTCCCAAAATACAAATGATTTTAAAAGGGTAAATTGCAAGGTCGGTTACTAGGATTATTAAAAATGTTCATGTTTGGTCACTAAAAATATTTATTTCATTAATGGTCACTAAAATTTGTTAAACAATTCAAGTTTGGTCACTCTCCATTACCTTCCGTTAGTCTCTGTTAACGACGTTAGTTTTTTGGTGACGTGGCTAACATAAATGTACAATCACTCAATTTTAACCTAAAAACTTAAATCCAAACTACCACGTCATAAAAACATGCCACATCATATAACCCAACTCTGCCCAACCCATGATCCCACCCACCCACTCAAATTAAAATAATAATTCTAAAATCACTTAAATTCCCTTTCTCTCTCGGCCACTCAACAGTCAACTCCACAGACCTTTCTTCCCCAACCAAAACCATCGCCACTGATCTTCCTCCGTTTGCTACACCGGCGGCACCATCGACCACAAGCCCAAGAACTCCAACCCGCCGGACATCGACCTTCGAGTCAAGATCTTGACCAGGTACCCGAAATCGTACGCGCACCCAGCTCACCGACTCAGCCACGAAGAGGAAGAAGCGGCTGTAGAATCCAGAGATCCCAAATCGTCGGTGGAAGATGAATCAGCGCTGGGTTTGGGAAGAAGAAATCGACTTCTTCCTCTTATGCTCCTGAATCCCACATCGGCGTTAGATTGAAGAAAAGTAGGCGGCCTGAATCCTCCCGTCCCAAACGCCCAACAAAAGAACACCCTTCTCTTTCCGATTCAAACTCTCATCAACCAACTCCGTCAAAAAACCCGACTCCTTAGTCTCCCCAAGTAGCTTATTAGTTACGGCGGCAAGCTCGTCCAAGGCGGCCAAATTCGCGTCCTCCGTTCAATGCTCCATCTCGTTCTCTAGTGAAATACCCAGCTATTCCCCTTCGCAATTTCATCCCCTGTCTCCCTCCACTTTTGAGTTTTACTGAAAACAAGAGAAGCACGGGTGGTGGCGTGCGGGAGGAACTGTGTGGAACTGACAGCTCGGTGAAGCACCACTGAGAGATGAGATGACAGGAGACGACGTGCGGCAGCGGATTCTTGGAGTGGGGGTGAAAGGATGGTGAGAGGGTACGGAAGCATGGTCGTTTCTTTGGAGGGGGGAGGTTATCTCGGCTGAGGGCGGGTAAAATTGGCGAAGTTGGGCGAGTTCTATGGAGCTCCATTCAGAAGGCGACAAATAATGAAACAGTAATTGAAGTTTGTCCCAGCGGGGGATTGCTAATTGTCGCCCTTACTTTATTAAGATCGCCCTAATTTAAAAATTAATTTTACCACATCACCCTTTTCCTTTTCGTTGTTATTTAATATTTTATTATAACAAGAATCTATAAGAAATTGAAATTAAGATTAACTGTCGCCGACCGATTCCCGCCTCCCGCCGACCGCCATCCTCTTACGCACGGGGAAATAAAGAACCCAATCAAAGTTTCCTGAATTGGGTATATTATAGAAGTTTAAAGAAAGAAAAGGAATTACGTATGAATTCTTGATCATCATGTTTCCTTATTAAACTATCTATTTTGTTATAGATATAAATTCCATGTTTCTGTACGCAATCGTCATCGCAGTAGAGAGGGCACGGAGATGAGACGGCGGAGAGAAGGGTAGAAGAAGCGGTTGATTCCAGCGATTGGACTGTTAACAGAAACACAGCGGGGAGAAAGAATGCGGGCAGATGATCGTTGGGGGCGTAGGAGGTTGGTCACGGTTGGTTGGATGGTCTCGCCGGCAAATGAAGATGCGCAGATGGTCGGTGGCGGAGGGTCCAACTGCTTATCGATAAAGGTGGAGGATGATTAGGGCTTTTATGGGTTTGTTGGTTTTTTATTTTGTTTAATGAAGGTTGATTTAGTACATTTAAGTTTTAAATTAGGGCGATTGTAGTAAAGTTAGGGTGACGTTTAGCCGTTCAGATAAAGCGTAGCCAGCTTTTACATATAAGATAATGACATTTTCCTTTTCAACTACCAATAGTTATTCACCAAGTTGAGCGAATTTTGTGGGGGTGATTTGATGAGCTTCCATTGTTAGTTGTCACCCCCTACTGGAAGCAGATGTCGACGATAGTCGGAGTAGTCAAACGCGACGGATGAGCAATCTGAGGCACACAACTCACCGAAAATGGATTTTTGAGCAAAAGTTGATTAGATTTTAGAAGAACCTTGTCGGTTGGGTAATTTTTAGATCGGGCGGTCAAAAGAAAGGGTCAGGTTGCAGGTTAGGGTTATTAACGCGTTGGGTCGTACTGATGACGTGGCATGTTAAATTTGGCTGATTTGTCAGTTCTGTTAGCCACGTCAGCACAAAATTGACGCCGTTAATGAAGACTAACGGAAGGTAATGGAGAGTGACCAAACTTGAACTATTTAACTAATTTTAGTGACCACCAACGAAATTAAATATTTTTAGTGACTAAACGTGAATGTTTTTTGTAATCTTAGTGACCAACCTTGCAATTTACCCGATTTTAAAATGTATTTTTCAAAATGCACACGTTATAAAAAAATTCCCAAAATGCACACGTTATAAAAAAATTCTCAAAATACACATGTTTGGGCATCACCGCTGTTGTCAACCGCAGTGAATGCATTCACCGCGGCAGACCAAAGCGGTGAATGCATCACCACTCTTGACGGCCGCGGTGAATGCCTAACTTAACACTGAAACTTCAAACAAACGTAACTTTGCTCTCGTTTATCCGATTGTAGCGATTTTTTTAATTCCATATAACTTTTTAAGGTCTTTCAATCTGCAACAAGACTTCATCTAAAAAAAATGTCGTTTGTTACCCCGAACGAGCAATTTTCGATTTTGGCAAACTTTGGAAGGACATAACTTTTAGCTCCTCAATCCAAACGTCGTAAAGTTTTTTTTGATTGCGCATAACTTTCTAAGAACTACAACTTTTACTAGGAAATAATTTTTTTAAAAAGAAATATTTTTGGCTATACGGGATTTTGGGAATAACTTTGCCTTTACTTTTCACAAAGTTATGGTCTTCCAAAGTTTGTCAAAATCAAAAAATTGCTCGATCGGGGTAGCAAATGAATTTTTTTTGGTATGAAGGCTTGTTGCGGATTGAAAGATCTTGAAAAGTTATGTGGAATAAATAAAAATCGCTACAATCGGATAACCGAGCGCAAAGTTACGTTTGTTTGAAGTTTCAGTGTTACGTCAGGCATTCACCGCGGCCGTCAACGGCGGTGATGCATTCACCGCTTTGGTCTGCCGCGGTGAATGCATTCACTACGGTTGACAACAACGGTGATGCCCAAACATGTGTATTTTGAGAATTTTTTTTATAACGTATGTATTTTGGGATTTTTTTAAAAAACATGTATATTTTGGGATTCTTTTTGCAGGCGCTGAAAAAATTGAAGTATGAGCAATCACTCAGAGTCTGTCAGAAGCTTCATTGCTAGAGCTGATCTGAGAAGGAACTCGAGCTCTACTACAGGCATATCGCACTTTATGGTGACCCTAATAGTAAGAATCCTATCTCCATATTGGACGGACCGCCACAGGACTCCAGAGATCAGAGAAAGAGGAGCTGTGATTCTGCTAGGGATTTCAGGACAGATGCTGATTGCAGCAGTGAAGATGAACTATCCGAAGAAATGGAAACTTATTTTGAAGACACTGATTGCAGTGAAGAACTATCCGATTCTGGAATTTTTTATGGCGTTTCAGTGTTCGGTTAACATGGCGTGATTTATCGGCTGGCTAGGTTTTAATCTGCAATGATAAAAAGTGAATACTCTTTTCGCTCACCAACTCAAGGATTGACCTATTTGTTTAGCTCCTAAACTTAAGTTGAATTAAATTAAATGCCGCATTAATGAGTTTCGGCATTTAATTCGATGCCGCGTGATTAAAAACGGTGTCGTTTAAAGACAAGCGACATCGCGGATGGTAAAACGGTGTCGCGAGTAAGCCCAACGATACCGCTTAAGGCATCAACAACGCCGCGGTATGGGTAAAACGCCGCGGTCATGGTGACATGCACTTTTCGGTCGACCTATTGCAGAAGGCGGTCGACCTATTCGACTAATTTGGGCAGCACGAGAAAGCATTGCGGTCGACCGCACTTAGTTTAAGTTGTTATTTTTGGTCGACCAGAATAAAACCTGGGTCGGCCATTTCGTTGGCGTCAGAAACAACATGGTCGACCACCTAAGGTATATAGGTCGACCACTTGATGGCAGTCATTAACAAAATGGTCGACCGGATAAGGAAAGAGGTCTACCAGATAGAAGATAAGTGTTCTATCAAAGTGTCCAATTATTTGACGTAAAATGAAGATCAAGTGTTGGTTTCGCGGTCGACCTAATCCGGTACGAGGTCGACCGAATAAAAGAAAGTCACCCTATGCCCCGTGTCTTTTTTGCTTATGTATGTCGATTTGTGTGGTTCTTTTAATTGTATAAATTATGTTTCAAACCATCATAATTAGTCATAGATAATTATAACAAGGACTCATCAATTCATAGCATAACAACTAAAAATAAAACAGAAATCATAATTGTTCACACATCAAAATAAAACTAAAAAAACAACAGAATAACAATCAACAATCGTTTTGACCACTAAAACACACAATATAAAATCTCCTCTCTCCTACTCATCTCCCCCCTCTCTCTCATCCACATTTTCTTCATTGGTGGTGCTAGCATGATGGTGGTCGGATGTGGTGGGATGCATGTATCTTCCGCTGAAAGATCGCCACTCATCTCGCATCTCATTCACGGTCACCTGCATTGTGCTCATCTGGGCGGTCATTTGCCCCATATAGTCGTGCATGCCAGTCATTTGGGTGGACATCTGGCCCATGTACTTGTACATGCCATCCAAGCGCTCCCACACACGCTGTAAGGTGATCGGTGGAGTTGAACTATGTGCCTCCGCCATTGGCTCGTCTCGAGCTCCTTCATCACCCTCATCATCATCATCATCATCATCATCATCACCACCATGAGCATTGTTTACTCTGACATACTCACCATTACGCAGCTCAAAGCCCATCTTTTTCAGAGATGAAACAGTATAGAACTCCTGCCTTGAGATTCTTAACCCCACCTCTTCACTTAAATTCACATTAAAATGCTCAAATAGCACAGTGAGGATCATCCCATAGGGAAGATTCCTGTTTGAACTCTCTGCAGCAGTAAGCATGTGGTTAAAGATTAAGTATGGCAAGTTCACCTTCTCGTTTAACAGTATGTTGGTGAGGAGCTCCATGTCGAAGTAGGTGACTGTCTACCGATGTCCACCCTTTGGGAGAATGTTGTAGGAAAGCATGTGGTGAAGAACTCTGGCTTGAACTGTCAGGTGGTTACTCGTGGGCCTATTGCGCCCTTGAGCATCTTCCTCTTCATCAAGACCACATACCATCTGGATTTGCTTGGCTCTCGTGAAATGCGTTTCATTCCAAGAACCGTAAGAATTGATTCTCTTCCCCTCGTTTGGAGCCTCAAGTACTTGCGCCAACACATTCTTGCTGATGCGCATCGCCACCCCATTCACATAGGATTTGAATGCGTGAATGGATCCATTTACATTGCGCTCGTAGACGATGTTGTTGTAGAAGTACTGTACCAGTTTTGGGTAGTATGGTACATTGAGAGATATCACCTTCAACCACTCTTGCTCGATGAAGGGTCCCAGAAACCCGTAATTCTCGAAATGAGAATACGCATCCGTCGTCAATGGCCTTCCAGGAGCCACCCTGCGGTTGTGCATTCTCTTCTCTTCATAGTTGTCACTTTGATCCTTGGTCTGGAACCGTTTGGGATTGAACTCTTCCCATTCCGAACTTGAGGCAGCAACTTTTTGTGACTTTCTTTTCTTATTTTTGCCAAACATCCTGCGATTAAACAAGCAAGAATACACATTAGTCACATTTTCGAAATGAACAATACGCGGTCGACCACTCCATAAAGCGGTCGACCTCAGTTAATTTAAAACGAGAATGGGTCGACCTCAGAAGAATCATAGGTCGACCTCAGTTAATTTAAAACGAGAATGGGTCGACATAAACCCATAACAATTCAAGTACAAAATTTAAATCGATTGAAAATCATAGGTCGACCTCAGAAAAAACATAGGTCGACCTCGGAAAATTTAAATCGATTGAAAACCATATGTGACTTTCAGCAAGAGTGCAGTTCAGGACATTAGACCACATTGGAATGTACTCGAAGACACAAACGTTTGTGTCTTCGAGTGCATTGCAAGGTGGCCTAATGTCCTGCACTGCACTCTTTCTGAAAGTCACAATTGGCTTTCAATCGATTTAAATGGCCCGAGGTAGACCTCAATATCATCACAGGTCGACCTCAATAAGTTTAGCACAAATAAATCAAACTTTTGCCTTCATAGGTCGACCTCAGAAGCATCATAGGTCGACCTCGGCTAAATTAAAACGAGTCCGAAATGGCCCAAATGCTCGTAGCAATTGAGTGCAAAACAGATCCGGTCGACCTCATAAATAGAAGAGGTCGACCAGTGTTAGTTTCGCACAAATAATTCAAAGACAACGGCACAACTCGAACTTTTGCCTTCATAGGTCGACCTCAAAAGCATCATAGGTCGACCTCGGCTAAATTAAAACGAGTCCGAAACGGCCCAAATGCTCGTAGCAATTGAGTGCAAAACATATTCGGTCGACCTCATAAATAAAAGCGGTCGACCAGTGTTAGTTTCGCACAAATAATTCAAAGACAATGGCACAACTCGAACTTTTGCCTTCATAGGTCGACCTCAGAAGCATCATAGGTCGACCTCGGCTAAATTAAAACGAGTCCGAAATGGCCCAAATGCTCGTAGCAATTGAGTGCAAAACAGATCCGGTCGACCTCATAAATAGAAAAGGTCGACCTGTGTTAGTTTCGCACAAATAAAACAGAAATAAGATCGCTTGAAAGCCAGATGCGGTCGACCATGATTATGAAAAGGTCGACCTCATCTGGCAAACAGAAGGACAAAATCCCTCTTTTCAAGCTATAGATGTAAATAATATCGTAGCAAAATTTCACAGGTCGACCTCAATATCATCATAGGTCGACCTTAGTCTATACAACAAAAGGAAGAATTGATTTAAGGCCAAATGCGGTCGACCACGAATATGAAAAGGTCGACCGCATCTGGAAAACAGAAGGACAAAGTCCTTCTTTTGAAGCTATAGATGTAAATAATATCGTAGCAAAACTTCACAGGTCGACCTCAATATCATCATAGGTCGACCTCAGTCTATACAACAAAGGAAAAATCGATTGAAAGTCAGATGCGGTCGACCACGAATATGAAAAGGTCGACCGCATCTGGCGAACAGAAGGACAAAGTCCCTCTTTTGAAGCTATAGATGTAAATAATATCGTAGCAAAACTTCACAGGTCGACCTCAATATCATCATAGGTCGACCTCAGTCTATACAACAAAAGGAAAAATCGATTGAAAGCCAGATGCGGTCGACCACGAATATGAAAAGGTCGACCGCATCTGGCGAACAAAAGGGAAAATCCATCTTTTCAAGCTACAGATCTAAATAATAAGGCCAGAAATCGTAGCAAAACTTCACATGTCGACCTCAATATCATCATAGGTCGACCTCAGTCTATACAACAAAATGAAAAATCAATTGAAAGCCAGATGCGGTCGACCACGAATATGAAAAGGTCGACCGCATCTGACGAACAGAAGGGAAAATCCCTCTTTTCAAGCTACAGATCTAAATAATAAGGCCAGAAATCTCATCAAAACTTCACCGGTCGACCTCAATATCATCATAGGTCGACCTCAGTCCATAAAACAGAAATAAAATAGATTAAAAGCCAGTTGCGGTCGACCACGATGATGAACAGGTCGACCGCTTCTGACGAACAGAAGGAAAAATCCCTCTTTTCCATCTTTAGATTTTCTGAAAACAAAAAGAAGAAGACAAGAATCGACTCAAATGAAAAAGAGGACTGAAAGCTATACCTTGTTCTTCTTCTAAGTGATGAGGATGAAGCTTTCTTTGAGTTTTTGGAAAATGGAGAAGAAGATGAAGAAGGGAAAGGAGAGGAAGAATGAGTGGATGTGGTGGGATAGGGTTCTGATTGTGGTGTAGAATGAGTGGGAGAGGGTTCCTTAAATAGAGGATCGAGGGAGGTTTGGGTGGATGTTGCAAACAAACTGGTTTGGTCGGCCGAATTAAATACGCGGTCGACCTCACTAACTTGTTCGGTCGACCGTTATTTGTATGAGGTCGACCGTTTTATTGCTATTGTTTATTTCAACCAACAATCAATTAACTCATAAATTATTAAGATAATTCGCAGAAATTACAATGCAATCACAGTTATTAAAATACAAAAAAACTCATAAAAAACAATAGAAGAAATTTAAGATCGTTTTTTGGGACTTTGTTTCGGGCACTTAGGGCGAAAATGACCATATTTCCCACATTTCGAACACTTTCTTAAACTTTTGCCCGATGCAGTTCGTGTTGACTTGAATGTCCCCTTGGTCTTCCCAATTTTTGGATCTTTCACACTTCAAAGGGGTGCTGGAGGGTTTGCCGGTGTGGTGTTGTCCGTTCTCTCCCTCGCGAACTCAATTGACCATTGAGTAAGGTCGTCCAACGTCTTAGAGACATGATTAAAAGCAGATTCACTACCGCACGCGATGTCACATAAACGCTTACACTTTAGAGCCAATCCTCCATGTCTTATCAGTCGACCAACTTTCTCTCCCACATCACCTCCAACTCCAGGATGACGATTTAGTGTCTTCGCATTTTGGGTCCATCGAAACTTGAACCACGACGAGGGTAATGCGGTGTATCCCATATTTTTTTATTACTGTAAGCATGTGTCTGCATGGAAACCCCTTAGATTCAAATAATTCACACTCGCATTTTAGATCTTGATTGGACGTAGTAAATGTTAACCGCCTTATCCGATCTGGGTTCATGTAGTTCTTCAGTATGAATGTCTCTGTCCCATCTGATTCAGTTCTTCTCTCCGCTAATACATAAGAAGTTTCATTCTCTAGTTCAGACTTGAAGATAGCAAATGTACGATGAGTGTAGATACTTTCAGCTTGCATTTCCCAAGTGCGAAGGGCATGCTTGCAAACCAACCTCGTGTGCCTAGAAGTATAATCATCATGCACCTCCGTGAAACGCATCCCCTCCAGTGCTTCATCAATGCCCTGAACAAAACGTTGCAAGCTGTATTGAGTTTCCACATACCCATTTATCCAATGGTTACATGACTCACATCGCGAGGTTGATTGGAGTCCACCGAAATAAATATCCTTCAAGTATGCCTCTGCCCACAATAATTTGTCAGCGTACAAATCCTGCAACCACTTATTTGCAGACAAACCATGCTGACTAATCAAATGCTCCCAACGCCTCTCAAACTCCTCAATCGATATTCGTGCTTTCGCCAAGTAAGTGAATGCGCTAACGAACTCCTTATTATGAACGGCCGTTGTCGCATTTGTCTCAATATGCCAAATATAAAGACGGTGAGGCACTCCAACCAGAACAGTAGCAATGGCACCACGCATAGACTTGTCTCCGTCTGTGATCACTGAAGTGGGCATCTTAGAGTTCATACACTCCAGAAAAGTATTCAACAACCAAACATAGTGATATGATCCCAATTGGATCAATCCACAATTCACAATTGCTTTCCAAAGAAGTCATCTCAACTCACTTTAAGAATTCTGATTTTTGGCCAAGTGTTGAAACAGTTTCAGGTAGCCTACTTTGGAAGCTTGTATCTCACACATGGCTCAATCAAAATGGGAGATCTAGAGCTTGTTTTGAAGATAATGTTATTATGTTTAGATTGGTATGTTTTGGAGCTCAAGGAGATGTCTGGAAAGTCACTTTCAAAGCCCATCAAAAGGCTACCTCAAAACAGAAAAACTGCCTGAATTTGGCTAAGGCAGAAAACTGTTTGGAGATACCAACTTTGAAGGCCTATATCTGGAGTTTGGAGCATGATCTAAGGCTGATTCAAGTTGGAGGTGAAATAGGAAGTATTCTTCTACAAAGTCAAGGAATTGGTTGAGTTCGAATCAACCTAGAAGACCATTTTCGAAGGGCTCAAAGGTGCTATGAAGCCTGTTTTCCTAGGCAGACTTGCTTGCGTTTTAAGTCAGTTTCTTGGCCAGCAAGTTACCTTGTTTTACTCGAATTCTTTAGCCTATTCCTGTTCTAATTAGTTTCCTTGTTCATCTAGGTTTGTATTAGTTTTATTTGCCTTTAAATACTCTTCTATTTTCATTGTAAAAATGAAGACTTTGTTGAATAGAAATCGAAACCGTTTGGTTTGTGCAAGTTGCGACTTGTTTTGAGTTTGGTGGATTCCAAACTTGCTGAGCTTGTGTATCGATTGAATAGTCACTTCAATCGTGGTCGAGCAACTACCCTTTTATACCAATCGAGCTATCCCCAGGTGTGGATTTGTCCTTTTGGTTCCGTTTTATCCAAGTTCGTATTAAGAACGCTTCATTCTTGATTCGAGCTCGATCGATTCTTCGATTGAGTCGTTAGCTGCGTGACTTTGATAACATACACCCCCCTAGGGGCGTATCAAGTGGTATCAGAGCCCCGTTCTACACAAGGGCGAAAAAGAAGGCGAAAACGTGGTGTTTCGTACAAGCAGAATTCATCGAGAAACATGGCAGCCATGGTGGGCGAATTAGAACAAGTGAATTTGATGTCCTATACTTGTTGTTTGGTGGGAGAGAAGGTGTGCTCTGTGTACGTTAATGGTGAGAGCCAATCGAACTTGATTAGCTCACGGGCAGTAGCTAAATTGGGGCTGCCAATTCGAAAACTTCCAGCCCCTTATTCGCTGCCATTGTTGGCGAAAAAAGACTCTGTTTTTCGTAACAGAGGAAATAAGCTTACCATTCAGAATTGGGAGATACGAAGATGTGGTTCGGTGCGACGTGGTGCCTCTAAAATTGACTCATGTCGTGCTTGGAAAGCCTTGGCACGATGATCGCAATGCTCGACGTAGCAGAAGAACAAATCACGTCCGATTGCGGCATTGTGAAAACAATTTTGCTTTAAAACTTCTATTGCCGGAAGAAGCGGCGGCAGATCGAGCCACCCTGCTGCAACAGCTCCGTGACGAGGAGGAAGGAGCTAAGACAGTTGAGAATTTGACTGGGAAATTGCCTCTGAAGGAGCTGGAATTCCAGCAAGAAAATCAGCTCGATGGAGATGATGACCCCTGTTTTCCTTCCGCGAAACAGAGTGCTGCATCACGTAGCTTGGCCAAAGACGAAGGAGGGGAGCTGTTGTTCGACGCGGCCAGAGACGCATCCTTGGAGGTTGGAGCAACGACGAAGAGTCAAGATGAAGCTCCCGAGCAGGCTTTCATCGATTGAACGCCTCCAGCGACAAGCATTCAAGAACTCCGTTTTCCAGTGACAAAGCAGAGCATGAGAGAGGCAGAATCGGTTGGAGCTCTCGGGGAAAATTCGAGCTACACCAACGGTGCTGAACCCTCCCAATGGACTCCAAGAATCTTTAAAATAGGCTTAATCGACTTGATTACGCATTTCTTGGAGGATCAAAGTCGAATTCCAATGCCTCTGCAAATGCTTGAACACAGCAAGCAAACGGCTGAATTGGTGGGGAAGTCTGGGGCTGATTCGACCCCAAAGGCCGCTGCGGAATCATCAAAAATATTCCCAGGAACGAGTGGAAACGTTCAATTGGAGTCCAAAGGCACTATATCGCCAACGCCCAATTCGCAATTTTCGTGTCAAAACGTGAAGAACAACACAGACAAAAAGGGTGAATTGGTTGTGGAGATTGGCGTTGATTCAAAGCAAATGGTCACTTGGATTAGATTTCTGGGTTCCCAAGGATGGTGTAGGAGCAACGAAATCGGAACGAAAAGGCCTGGGTTAAAAGTCCCCAATTTCGATTTCGCGTCGCCGGAAACTGGAATTCACTCTCCGGTTTCTGGAAATTTGAAAATTTCCGACGGAGGGAAAATCTGTTCTTCTAATTGGTGACAATTTGTATGGTTTCGTGGGCTGGGAGTGATTGGAATAGGATCCTGGGGGCGAGGCGAATCAATCTCAAGCGACGAATTGGACCTTGACATCCTCAAGTAGAAACCCCCAAAATTGAGGCTCTCGCCGGAGTTCTTGCCGGCGCCGGATTCTGGAAAATTGCAAAGACAAGTTCTGGGTTTTTTTGAGCACACTGTTTACGTGGGAGAGGTCCATTGGAATCCTACGAACATCATGGAACTTGAATCGTGGAAAACAGCAGCCGATTCGCGAGTTAACGAAGTGTTGAAGTTCGACATTGCAAGTTCAAGGTACCTATTTCGTGACTCGATTTGGGAGGAATTTTGTGACGTTTTTGACAAGAAGCAGCTTCAAGCTTTGAGGTCAAAGCTTTTTGAAGAGGGGGAGCCTGATATGATCCCAATTGGATCAATCCACAATTCACAATTGCTTTCCAAAGAAGTCATCTCTACTCACTTTAAGAATTCTGATTTTTGGCCAAGTGTTGAAACAGTTTCAGGTAGCCTACTTTGGAAGCTTGTATCTCACACATGGCTCAATCAAAATGGGAGATCTAGAGCTTGTTTTGAAGATAATGTTATTATGTTTACATTGGTATGTTTTGGAGCTCAAGGAGATGTCTGGAAAGTCAATTTCAAAGCCCATCAAAAGGCTACCTCAAAACAGAAAAACTGCCTGAATTTGGCTAAGGCAGAAAACTGTTTGGAGATACCAACTTTGAAGGCCTATATCTGGAGTTTGGAGCATGATCTAAGGCTGATTCAAGTTGGAGGTGAAACAAGAAGTATTCTTCTACAAAGGCATTGAATTGGTTGAGTTCGAATCAACCTAGAAAACCATTTTCGAAGGGCTCAAAGGTGCTATGAAGCCTGTTTTCCTAGGCAGACTTGCTTGCGTTTTAAGTCAGTTTCTTGGCCAGCAAGTTACCTTGTTTTACTCGAATTCTTTAGCCTATTCCTGTTCTAATTAGTTTCCTTGTTCATCTAGGTTTGTGTTAGGTTTATTTGCCTTTAAATACTCTTCTATTTTCGTTGTAAAAATGAAGACTTTGTTGAATAGAAATCGAAACCGTTTGGTTTGTGCAAGTTGCGACTTGTTTTGGGTTTGGTGGATTCCAAACTTGCTAAGCTTGTGTATCGATTGAATAGTCACTTCAATCGTGGTCGAGCAACTACCCTTTTATACCAATCGAGCTATCCCTAGGTGTGGATTTGTCCTTTTGGTTCCGTTTTATCCAAGTTCGTATTAAGAACGCTTCGTTCTTGATTCGAGCTCAATCGATTCTTCGATTGAGTCGTTAGCTGCGTGACTTTGATAACATACACCCCCCTAGGGGCGTATCACATAGTTGGGGATCGTCTCGTTATCCAACTGGGCAAAACCATATATGATGTTACGGTGGTGGTGATTTACACCAACCATCATAACAAATGGTCGATTGTACTTGTTGCGCTTGTAGCATGCATCGAACGCCAAGACATCCCCAAAAAAATGGTAATCTGCTCTAGATGTGGAGTCCGACCAGAAGAGATTGCCTAATTCACCTTCATCGTTGGTTGTGTACTTGAAGAAGCTGCCTGCATCAGAGGTATGTTTACTTTGCAAGTAACCCAATGTTCGGTTAACATCTCCTATTAGATCGTCGTCAACTGTTCGGGATTGCTGAACAGCATTGTCCAAATCCTTTGGAGTGTACCCCAGATTCTCATATCCTCCAACTTTATTCTTCATGAACTGAACAATGTTGCGTTGTTTTATTCCTGACTGTCGCATCCCTATCGCTAGAGCCTTGTCTCCTTCACTCACATTTCGATGAGACCGAAGGAATTGAGTTTCTTCTTCATTGCAGCAACGATGTGAGTGCTTCCTCTCAAACTTAGAAACAACCCACATTTTCTTATTCCGATCAAAGCGTACAGTATACGATGCCTTGCAATAATGTCTTGTCATCTTACGATGTTGTCGAGTCCGACCTTCTTTATCTATATGCATCTTATCTCTAGTCCCCTCTCTCGAACATACCATTGTCCTCCCAATTGCTACTCCTCGACGATTCCTCCGAAGATCTCTACGTCGAACGCTAAATCCTTTCGCTTTAGCATAGGAATCGTAAAATTTCTCTGCATCTTCTAATGTTTGGAACTCCATGGAAGGAATTTGTTGTTCATATTCAGTAGCTTCTTCATCATCTATAAATTCTTCTTCAGCACCTTCGGTTTCATTATCATCCCCAACCACTTCATCATCCGTATTATCTGTATCATCTGAATTATCCATAGCTCCTTCTCGAGCATCCTTAGGTTCCTCATCGAAGTTAACCTCATCATCATCTCTATCATCTGTATCATCTCTGTTATCCATCCTGCAACGATCGGAATACGAACTTAATGTAAAAAACATACACAATTAGCTCTCGTCAGGTCGACCTGAATGAACTGTACGGTCGACCTTATTACTAAATAACAAACATGCGGTCGACCTGAATTTACTGAAAGGTCGACCTAATCATATAATTACAAAAGTACGGTCGACCGGATGGTGGGAAAAATTTAACCACATACAAGCATTAACAAGCACATATGAGACATACCTTAGCAAAGAGGTCGACCACTTATTGTTACGGTCTACCGGAATAAAAATAAACCACCACCAACACCCGATCACAATAAGAGCGATGAGATTACAACTTCACTCCAACAAATTGCATAAATCGAAGTACGATTAAAGTCTTAAGACTCCCATCTATTTATAGATAATGTAGACGAATTCCTTATCCAATTGGTGAAAGATATATAAAATCATAATTCGACAAGGACAAGTACACAAAATCCTAATTGTACAAGGACATGATTCATTACGGTCGACCTCTTTGCACAAATGGTCGACCGTCTTGTGTAAATGTGAAACAGGTCGACCTCTTTACACAAATGGTCGACCGTTGTTTATAAATGTGAAACAGGTCGACCTCTTTACTGAAATGGTCGACCATTGTTTATAACTGTGAAACAGGTCGACCTCTTGACACGAATGGTCGACCGTATTTTATTAAGGCCAAGCAGACGAGATTCCATCCATATTCTACATGGTTTTTGACTTTGCTACAGTATCATAGTCGACCTTAAGCGTCACGAGGTCGACCTGTGCTCTGCCTATGGGTATGCCCGCTTTGAGTATGTGGTCGACCACTTGTTCTAGACGATTGAAATCGTAAATTCAGTCACATCCATAATTGTATAACACATCTAATAAACGATAAACATTCAAAATCCAAAATGAAACGATCTCGCAAATACAAATTCAATGTATGGTCCAAATAATCCAACATTGTAACTTAACGACTTCATTTCTTTGCTTTTTTGTTTGAACTCTGTCTCTCTTTGCCTCGTTCCATGCATTCATCTACTACATGCTTGAAAAGATTTTCTCGTGCACGGTTTTCAAAATGTGTAGCCAGATACCATAGAATCTCCTTTCGAGCCGGTAATTTGTGTTCTTCTCCTATCTGCATTATGCCATGTAAGATTTCGTTACAACTAAAAAAAGTGTAAATTAAACAAGTTATTTGTTTGATGATATACTCACCACTCTATCAAGATCCTTGGATCCATAGCGCATCCACTGCATGACGTGCACACCACACGCAGTACTATTCCTTTGCCGTTGAACTCGTAGCTCATCAAAATTGAAATCTCCAAAATTTGGTACTACTACATTGCTCATGCGCTCCGGTTTCAAAATATCATCCAAATTGGACAACTACACACAAATAACGAATATTATAAGCTTCTAGCATAATACGTAACGCTTAGTAGTCAGAAAATTATAGGAAACACTTACCAATTTCTTGCATAGTGCTGATTTACGCCTACGATTCGCCTCACTAGTTGAAGGTAGACTGTCAAGCAAAAATGCAGTTTTTTGCTGGACATTGACGAGATACAGAAACCAATGACGTGCTTCATCGTCAAGAACTGGCATAAATATATAGCAACGAAACACTCACTATATGTTATAAACAGCGAATACAAACAAATGCACTTTCGAAATTTAATGATATAGGGACATTGACTAGACTAACCTTCTGGCATGCACTGACATTCGGCATAAAGACCACGCCATCATTCATCAACTTGTTACGAATTTGACTGGTCTTCATGTTAGCGCGTACCATTTTCTGCACCATGTTTTAGTTGAGATGAATTGACATGGTACAATATAAATAACTAGGTTATGACAAATAATTTGACATTACGGCTCTTACCGAAAACATATTTGGCAAATACCACACATTTGGCTCTTTCACATCATGTTTTTCAGACATTGTTAGTGCCCTTGCACACAAATCCACTACCTACCATCCAACAATCAAACACAAAATCATCATAAATCGTAACCTAAATAGTGTACAATTCATACGAAAGTCGTAGTAGTATGGTACTTACTGATGAGCAAACCCAGCTATTCTCGCTAATGACCGAACTCAAATAATGTCGTTGCACGTTTTCAGAAAAAAAGTCTACAACGGTCAAACTGCAAAAATCAAAATAACAGAAATGTCAATTGTGATTTGCAACGTACAGGTCAACCTGTTCACAGTCACGGTCGACCTTATTGGACAAACGGTCGACCTCATGACCTAAACGGTCGACCACACGTACTAAAAAACGTCTTACTTGTCCCAATTCGTGTCCCCAGCCTTCTCTTTAGTAACAACATAATACAAGTCTTCAACTGGATTTTGAAGATTTTTGGTGAATCCTTCTAGACCCTCCACTTTCATGACCTACAAATCATAGTTAAAATTAAAGTAACATATGAACACAAACACACATTATAGATGAACATGTAACGTAAACTTACCCCGTGCTTTTCGAAAGGACTCTTAGATTCATCTTCATCGCTATCATGACTAAATAATCCTTTTCTTACAAATTGATCCTTCTGTGGAGTGGTGTAGGACTCACTTCATATCACGGTCTCTTGTACTTAGGAGAGGAACCCTTGCTGCCATTCGTTGTTTCACTCTGTCAAACATATAAACAAAACAAATTAGCACTAATGATAGTAATACTAATATCTTCAATAACATATGAATATACTTGGATACCTTTAAAATGTGCTCTTTCAATAAATCGTCTATGCTCTGGTAGCAATTTTCAGAGTCATCATGGTCTTCTTCCTCTTTACCAAAGTCAAATTTCTTTCCTTTACCATTTCTTCCGCCATTCTCCATTCGTTCTGCACTTATATCTTTGATAGCACCTTCTAGCCTCTCAAACCCGTCATGCATCATCCCAGTCATATCTGTCAGTCGAACTGACAATTGCTCCACTCTATCACGCATGGGCTTCTGAAAGTCATTGGCTTGTGTTTGAAACACCACCAGCTTCTCTTGTGTGGCTTTCAACAATTTCATGATTTCACCAAAATCTTGATGCAGTTTCTCATCATGCGTCATCGTCTAAACAATTTAAAGAAAAATTTAAATCATAATTCAACTACAAATTTCTACAATTGACCAAAAAACAAAGACGTGGTCGACCTGACCAAGTATTAGGGCGACCTGGAAGACAAATAGTGACTACCACAACCATTAAGGTCGACCTCTGTTATTCCTAGGTCGACCTATCCAGCAGGAAAATAACAATTAACAACAAAAAGTAAGTTCAAAATTAAACCGAAAAAAGGATAGGTCGACGAGATATCTGGCGCGGCCGACCTTTTCAAGCACAACATAGTCATACAAACAAAGCCAAAGTCGACATTCAGGTTGAATAACCAAAAAAACAGGAACGGTCGACCTTGAAACCCATTAGGTCGACCTATTGGGTTACCTCGCAAGTACAGAAGTCCAAGTGTTGTGGCCTAAATTCAAATACGAAGAATTGTCTCGTCAGGTCGACCTGGTTGACGTCACGGTCGACCGAATGGAATTCTGCACCCAACAATATATCAAATTAGCCGGTGGAAATCACGCATTAGAAAAGAAGACGGCGAATGGTACATTAGGTCGACCGCACCTTAGACCTGGTCGACCACTTCGAACACGTACAACAGCAACTGCGAACGATCTTCTTCACAAAGGCTCTTAATCGGAAAAAAACCTTATTCAGACTTGGAGGCGTTGAAGGGGACTTATATTCGTATTTATAGAGATTTAGGACGTCAATGGGTCGACCCAATTCGTTTCCTTGTCCAATTGTGGAACCTTTCTGGTGTTGGAATCCATATCCAATACGGATACGGTGTGAAGGCGGTCGACCTCTTCATAATGCGGTCGACCTGTTAGGTGCACAAGGGTCGGCCTATGAGATATTTGGGTCGACCTTTCATTCTGTTAGACCACCAAAGCGGTCGACCGTATTATGTAAGAGGTCGACCGCGTCTCGGAACCCCACATACATGAATTAGTCCATTCGGTCGACCGCATGTTGGATTAGGTCGACCGAAAAGTCCATGTCACGGTGATGTCACCGTAGCAAAATCCAACTTTTTAAGGTCTTTCAATCTGCAACAAGACTTCATCTAAAAAAAATGTCGTTTGTTACCCCGAACGAGCAATTTTCGATTTTGGCAAACTTTGGAAGGACATAACTTTTAGCTCCTCAATCCACACGTCGTAAAGTTTTTTTTGACTGCGCATAACTTTCTAAGAACTACAACTTTTACTAGGAAATAATTTTTTTAAAAAGAAATATTTTTGGCTATACGGGATTTTGGGAATAAATTTGCCTTTACTTTTCACAAATCCACATACTTTCCAAAATTATGGTTATAATCAAAGTTGTAGTACTTCAAAAGTTATGCAAAATCAAAAAACGTTACATGACATTCGGATTGTGGAGCACAAAGTTATGGTCTTCCAACGTTTGTCAAAATCGAAAAATTGCTCGATCGGGGTAGCAAATGAATTTTTTTTGGGATGAAGGCTTGTTGCGGAGTGAAAGATCTTGAAAAGTTATGTGGAATAAATAAAAATCGCTACAATCGGATAACCGAGCGCAAAGTTACGTTTGTTTGAAGTTTCAGTATTACGTCAGGCATTCACCGCTTTGGTCTGCCGCGGTGAATGCATTCACTACGGTTGACAACAACGGTGATGCCCAAACATGTGTATTTTGAGAATTTGTTTTTATAACGTATGTATTTTGGGATTTTTTTAAAAAACATGTATATTTTGGGATTCATTTTGCAGGCGCTGAAAAAATTGAAGTATGAGCAATCACTCAGAGTCTGTCAGACGCTTCATTGCTAGAGCTGATCTGAGAAGGAACTCGAGCTCTACTACAGGCATATCGCACTTTATGGTGACCCTAATAGTAAGAATCCTATCTCCATATTGGACGGACCGCCACAGGACTCCAGAGATCAGAGAAAGAGGAGCTGTGATTCTGCTAGGGATTTCAGGACAGATGCTGATTGCAGCTGTGAAGATGAACTATCCGAAGAAATGGAAACTTATTTTGAAGACACTGATTGCAGTGAAGAACTATCCGATTCTGGAATTTTTTATGGCGTTTCAGTGTTCGGTTAACATGGCGTGATTTATCGGCTGGCTAGGTTTTAATCTGCAATGATAAAAAGTGAATCCTATATACCTTTTCTTGTTTACACCTAAACTTAAGTTGAATTAAATTAAATGCCGCATTAATGAGTTTCGGCATTTAATTCGATGCCGCGTGATTAAAAACGGTGTCGTTTAAAGACAAGCGACA